GTAACTTTTTTTTTTTTTTTTTTTTTTTTTTTTCCCGTTTTCTTGACATTTTTGCTTGCTTTCATCTCTCATTCATTGTGTATTTGCCTCAAACTTTGTGTTATGTTTTGCTCTAGCAAAATATTTGGTGAATAAATTGATACACAAGTGAGACATAATTCTGATATTTAATAAAATATCTAATTCAAATATTACAAGGTATGGGTAGATTTGTCATACAGGGGAAGAAGCTATAAAAAGGTAACTGTCACAGAATTGGAAGCTAGCATTTGGTACAACTGCCTCAGTTAATTATGACAAAATTCATCTACTTATTGGCTAAATAAGGCGTTTTGGCTATTCTTGCTTTCTACAGTAGTATTTTGATGTTGCTTCATTCGTAATCTATTTAATTTTTGCCATTTAAGTCACTGATGGGTTTTACTGGAGTAGCCTTAGTAAGAAGCCAAGCTTTAGTATACATGAGCACTCAAACTATGCTACATCTCTTCACTTGATTTGTAATTAGCTATATCCCCAGGTCTGTTGTTTTATCATCGTTACTGTTGTTGTTGTTGTTGTTGTTGTTGTTATTATTATTATTATTATTATTATTATTATTATCATTCTTAAATTGCCTTGATGTTTTCAGCAACTGAAAATATACAGGGACTTGTGTGTCAGTATATGCACTTTTTTATTTAAACTATAATAGCTCTGTTTGTCTTTAATCCACACTTCTCATTTGTCTGCTTGACTTCATTTTTGTTTCCTTTTCCCCAACTTTATTTCTTTAGTCCTTAACCTCTGTGTTAGCATCAGCCAGAAAAGATCTTGAACAAATGTCAGACGAAATGAGGGGTTTAATATCAGAAAAAGAGACGCTGACACAGGAGGGGAATGCTTTAATGTTAGAGAAAGGTTCACTGTTATCAAAACTTGTAGAGTTGGAGTCCAAGATTTTGGTTTTGCAACAAGACCAGGAAAAACTTCAGACAATGAATGAAGAACTTAATACAGAAAATAAAAAGATCCTAGCTGAGAAACAGAAAGCTGAGGCTAGAATTCACCAGGAAAGTGCAGAAAAGTTAACTTTAATTTCTGAGCGAGAAAAGTTACGGTCTGAAATTGAGGTGGCACAGGAAGATCTTCTGAAGATAACTAGGGAGAATGATGTGCTCTGCTCTTCAAAATCAACCCTGCGCGAGCAGCTAGAAGAACTTCAGACCAACAGAGATGCCTTGGTTGTGGAATGTCAGAAACACATTAAAGAAAAAGAAGAACTGGACGATTGTCAGAAAAAACTTTCTGAGGAGAATGCTGCTCTTGTTAAAGACAAAGATGGTATCATTCAGAAACTGAAAAGCTCTTATGAGGACTTGGCCAGAGATCAAAAGGAGCTGCTGCAAGAAGTGGCTGCTCTGTCTATAGAGAGAGATTCAGTCTTGAATAAACATTTGGCTCTTGAAAATACATATGTAGCTTTAAAAAAAGAGAGGGATGATCTATGGCAAAGAAGCCAGGACTTGCAATCTGAAAAGGAAACACTCCTTAGGAGGGCTGAGGAGCTACAACTAAGCATAGAAACTGCTCTGAGCGAGAAACAGACACTGAATGTAGAAATTGCAGGTCTCCAAGAAGAGCTGCAAACTGTGAGTAAAGAACTTAAAAAGGCCACTCAAGACAATGCAGAGTTGCAGGCTTCTCATTCTAGTCTCTCTAAGCTTCTTGAAGACATTAAGGCGAGTAGAGACACATCAGACTCCGAGTGTATCCAATTGCTACAAGAGAAGGAAGCTCTTTCTTCATCTGAACGGAGGCTTTTGGCTGAGAGGGATAAACTTTTAAGTGAAAATAAGGCAATTACAGAAAAGCTTACCACAGTCACCCTTGCTGAGAGAGCTCTTAATGAGAAAGTAAGTCAACTGAGTGCAGATCAGGAATTGGCTTTTCAAAAATCATTGAAACTTAAAAAGCAGAATGATGCTCTCCTCAAAGACAAGGACTCCTTGGAAATCAAATACTCGGAGCTTCTCACGGAAAAGCAGTCTTCTGCAAGTGCACTCTTTGACTTGAAAAGAAAGCACGAGTCGGACATGTCTGCCACGAGAGCGCTGCTCCAAGAGAAGACTGAGCTCCAGGATTTCATTGAGACCCTTGAGAGAGACCTGGACAGCAAAAAACAAGAAAATCAAGAACTGATGGACTATAAATGTGAACTTGCAAAGCTTCTGAAAGAAGCTCAAAATGCCAAGACAACACTAGAAAATGAACTTTTTGCTGTATCCCATGCCAAACAGGTTCTCGCAACTTCACTCCAAACCTGTTCCTCTGAAAAGGAAGCAGTGGCCCAGGAAAAGACCGAATTGCAAGAAAAATGTCAGAAACTGATTGAAGAGGTTCAGATTATGAAGGAGAATTTAACCAGAGAAAAGGAAGCTAGAAAGCTAGAGAAGGATTCATTTTTATTGGAACGTGCAGAACTTCAGACCACTATCAGCTCTTTGGAGAGGGGGAAAGAGCAGCTAACAGATAAAAATAAGGAATTGCTGATGGAGCGACAGCAGCTGGTTCAGGAGAAAGACAGGTCTGAATCCAAACTGGAGGAGATTATGAAAGAAAAGGAAATCCTAAGTGCAGAGACAGAGCAACTTGCCTCCAACATTGAACAGCTAAAGAGTGACTTTGTGTCCTTGTCTAAATCGAAAGCAGAGCTTCAGGACTTGCACAGCTGCCTCTCCAAGATCCTAGAAGACCTTCGCTGTAGCCATGAGGTGACAGAAGTGGAGAGAGCAAAGCTGCTCCAAGAAAATGAGAGCTTGCTTGCTGAACAGAAGAAACTGATCTTGATCAAGGAAGAAATACTGAAGGAGAAGGAGAAGTTCTCTGTGGACTGTTACAAACTGCATGAGGAAATGACAGCCTTAGCACAAGCTAACAGTGACCTCTCAGCCAAGCTACTGGTGTCGGAGAACAAAAATGTGATGCTGCTGAACGAAATGAACAATCTTGCTTTGAAACTAAAAGAAATTGAGGTTCTTCAGGCACAAACAGTAATGCAAAAATCTGAGGTATTGAAACACATCGTTAAACCAATGAAATATAGTTACTAACACTGAGCACTAATGCAATCGTTTTAGTATCTGCACTTAATTGCACGATCAGCACTTTATCTCAGTGGAATTATTTTCCATCTCGGTATATTACCTGTCTGTCTCACGTTGTCTGTAACAATGAGTGTGAAAGATCTTAACACATATAATATTTAAAACAAAAAATCTGTGTCTAATTATAAGGATCTATGTTGTTGCTGAATGCTGCAAGAAAACAAGTTTTAAACTGTGAATAAAAAGGAAGGTTTTTCCAAATCCTGTTGAAGAAATGTAGTAACTTTTTTTCAGATAGTTCACAGCTAACAGTAAATGGGCAGAAATTTAATTAATTTTTAGAATTAGCTTACCATATCTTTTCATGTTAAATTAAAATAAGGAAGAATGTAATCTAAAAATACATGGGGATAAAAAAAAAGGAATTGGACAAAACAAATTGCAAGGTTTGCTTTGTTGGGCTTTCAAGTGTTAATAGCAAAGAAATTGGCACTTTGCATGTTCTTTTTTGTTCACAGTAATGTTTGTATTCACTACCAACAGAGTATTAAATGGACTTTCATGTCCATTTTTGACTTGTAGGTGGTAAGACAATTTGATGTGAATTTTTTTTTAGGGGGGTTAATCCCAAGTATTTCTCAGCTCACGAAGAGAAACCCTAGTTAATAGTATTGAAGTATATAATACTTAGCTCAACTACCAAGCTAGATTTTTGCACTCTTTAAGATTTTGAGATCTCTGAGTAAATTTGGGGCCATTGATTCTATTGCGCCTTATCTTCTGACAGTACAGACAAGCCTGTTGGTAGTGAATATCTGTTGAACTACTATTTTCATTTTTTTGGACATATAAGAGTAATCATAATGGATACAGTTAGGGCCATTGAGGAATTAAAAAAAAAATTAAATGTTGGTGATGGCACAAGCATGAGGTTGTAATTAAGTTCTGCATGGATTTATACTTTCTGAGATATATGTTTTATGTTTTATGCAGCTTCAGAAGGCAAATACATTTTAGTATCCCATTTTAAAAAGGAATTAATGTATTGTCCAACACTTTATTTAAAAGAAAAGCAGCTGACAAATAACTGAGTTCTGCATAAAGCATACATAATGTTCTATAGGTGCTAGTATATTGTATTGACATTCCTTTCAGTAAACATTTTCTCTCATATAGGTTGCTAAAATGGCAGAAGATGCTTTGCAGATGGTGGAGCAAGTGACCAAAGAGAAGGACGCCCTTCATAAAGAGAAGACTGAAACTCTGGCCTCTTTGGAGGATTCTAAACACACCAATCAGAAGCTACAAAATGAAGTAACCACGTTTAAATGTTCATATATGAAAACTGTCATGTACAATCTTCATCCAAATAGTCACCAAGCACTACAATTTACCAGTGAATGCGTTTCTGATGTATCCACCAGTCTCATATTATTTCTGTCATATGCTGAATTATACACATGCTGATTGACTGACATGTTTGACACTTGACCTGGTGCTACAATCAAATCAGACGAAACCTCTGGAGCTGGGATGTTTGAATCCCATTTTTTTGATGGAAAATAGAAGAATAGAATATATAAGGAGGAAAAATGCCTAGATGCAGATTTAATTTTGACTGTGCAGTTCAAAAGTCCTTAAAGACATAGGATCACAGTGCAGTGTTAAACATTAAATTGAGGGGAAGAGAAAAGAATAGTAAAAATGTGGAAGTAGAGGAAAGGAGAAGAATTGGCTGAATACCTTTTTAATCACTGTCCTGTCACATAACTGAATATGGCCACCTTGCCCTGGTATACCAGATACTTTTATATCTCTTAACTCTTTGTATCCAATGCAGCCATACAAACAATATGCCTTACAGCTTGGACATGGTGTGCCAAGCTATAATTATAAATGTCCTGTTGTGTATGTTCATGGAACTTTTCATTGTGCTACAGTAGCACTTACCTTGCACCATCTTGAAGATATGACATGGTCCAGTAGCCAAGGTGTTGGTCAGACTCGGGAGACCCAGGTTCTAATCCTGGCTTCATTGTGAATCACTATGTGACCTTGGGCTAGGCAGTTACAGCAACCGTTTTGGTGCTCTAGGCTCCTCAGCCTCAATATGGGGATGGGACTGCCATGCCAATAAAAAAAAAAAAGAAAAAAAACACCACAGATGTTCTAAATAACTATAATATCAATAACGTGCCAAGTTCTCCCTTCCCATTTTAACTTGCAAAAGTCATCTGGCTCCGTACATGTCCACTCAGAAATCCTTCCTCTGATCTCCAGTTTCACTGAAGTATCTTCACCTTTCCTCCTCTGTCTTCTGTAGTATCTTTCCCTGGTAGTCTGTTGGAATAAGGACCACAGTGTGAAAAACTCTGTACAAATACTGATGAAGTCTCTGACCAGAGAGCTTCCAATGTGAAAAGACAGAGTTCTCTTTAGTACTGATTCTGGGCCAGATGCTCCCTTCTTATGTCCACTTTTCTCGGTTGTGAAACTGCAACTTTTTGGGGACAGGTGGCTTCACTGGCAGGCTAATGGCTCTTATTTGCTTGGAACCAGGTTGCAGGGATCCAGATCTTAATTTAACTGTCTTTTTTTAACCTTTGCCTCAAACTTGAGCACACTGATTATTTTGGTACAGGCTATGCTGACCATGCATAACACTTTCTTTAGTTTTTAGGATAGTAGGCAGTTTTAATGCAAAAAGCTTAGCTAACTTAATGCCTTAGGATACTGTTGAAACGTAATTATTTCCAAGAAGTGCTGATAGCTTGCAAATTAAAAGCGGGGGCCCTTAATGAAAGCAGTTGGTTTTTCTGGATTGTTTAAAATAGAAATCCAGTGTCCTGTAATGCCATCAGAGTGACTGAAGATTATCTGTTATGTAATATGATTTATTAACAAGTGCTTATAAACAGAGGAGATTTACATGATAAATGCAAGCACAGTACGGACTGCAAGGCACTCTGTGATCAGTGCCAAAACAAGATAACCTCCCAAAAGAATGGATTTCTCGATATTGCAAACACAAATTTCAGCCTCTTATTTCTGGCAGATAAAGGTACAATAAGGTATAACTAGGAAATACTGTGGACTGATTTCATTTTGCTAAAAGTGTTGATCTGAAAAGTATGCAAAAATGGAAGTGTTTTGTGTGAAAGGTAGATAGAGTTCAAATGTTTTTACTGATTAATTTACCATGCTACTGAAATTGCACTGAATATAGGAAAGCTGTGTGTACTTTGTTAGATGAATATTTCTTAGTGCAAAAAGGCATGTTTTAATTTGCAAGACAAAAATCAAAAGCGTGAAAAGGTTCAAATGTTCTGGCCTCAAATTTCACAAAAATTATAAACTATATTTTCAAAACTTTCCTTTTGAGAATTGTAAAATTCCCCAAATTTAATGGGAGATTTTTTTTTCTTAAGGTGGACATGCTTAAACAAAATAACCTGAAAAATGAAGAGGAACTCAACAAGTCAAAAGAACTTCTAAATCTAGAGAACAAGAAAATGGAAGAATTTAGAAAAGAACTGTAAGTATGTTAAATGTTTGATCTGCTAAATGCTTACTTAGAATTACTGTCTGACAATTTGGAGTTTAATTTAATAAAAAAGTCCTTTCTATCAGTTCATTTTATAGTGTTCATTACAAAACAGTGTGTTGAAATCGGCTACTAGCTTCTGAAATACATATACAGAGCAAAAACAGAACACTGTTCTTGCTCACTGAAGATTATGGGATTATTTGTGCAGATATTTGAAATGGTTGTTATATTAATCAGTATCCTGTATTGTCATTTTAAAACAGCATACAGTTGTGCCACTTGGGGGCGCCAGTTTACTTTAGGATGCTTGTATGCAAAGAAATCTGGTAGTGTGTTTAAAACATGTTTATAATTAAACTGTTAATGGTAGAATGACTTCTGTACACAGGGAAACTTTATCGGACTTCCATGTGCTGCCAGGCAAAGTGTGATTTGCTTTTTTTCTTCTGAGTTAATTTTAAAGTAAACTCAAGATAGTATGTGAAAAGCAAGTCATTTGCCTGCCCTCTTAGGGCATGTCTAGCTGAAGAAAGCATGCTGTTTTTTCAAACGTTGTTTAAACATATTGTTAAACACCACGTAGCTTCTGGTGCAAACAGACTTAATTGTGCACTCAGGTGCCAGCTGATCATAGCCCCTTCTTAGTCTGCATAGATCTTCCTCCTAGAGTCTGAAATTGAGATGGAGTTGGCAGGGGGCAAGAGAGATTCTCTGGGCTCTTGCAGCAGTCATTTAAACCCTTGTCTTTTCAGTAAACTAAACCAGTAGGACTCCAAAGAAAATATACAGAGCAGTAACAATGTGCTGCTCCAGGCCAGGGTGAAATGAAACCACTGCAAGTCCCACTGAATGTGCTTGCCATGCAAAAAAGAAGTATTCTTTATTGGGGTGGTTTTAAAGTAACAGTGAGCTAGCAGGTTGAATTAAACCTTATAGGGGACTCTAGGGAAGTTTGAACTGCTCACCAGACATAAAGCCTGAGTTGCAATGACTTCTTTGCTATTTCAACCCAACGTGGCTAAATTGGCTTTAACCAAACCTGAGTTAAGAACACCCATTTGCCGCCTCCTCCCCCCAGTGTAGGCGCGCCCTTTGACTGAATAAAACATTTGGTCGCCTGCGGTGTAAAATCCATTGTCTCTCCTCAAGCTTGGATACCCAAGCTTCATAGATTTGGCACTAAACCACAAGCTTTCCTATCCCACTCCATCTCTGCTGGGTGAGATTCAGAACCTGTCATTAGAACTGCAGGGCAGAGAGAGGTCTTGATCTTTCAGGGCAGTGCAAGAGACTTGGCACAGACCTGACCAGTGCTCGGAGGTCCAGGAAGACCAGACCAGGAGAGAGCATTTCACCACAGCATTCATACTACATTTTTGCATGACTGTACCCATTTTATTGCTGTCCTCTTAAAAACTTGAAGGCCTGTTTTGAGAGAGAGGCCCCTTCTGGTGTGATAGCATTGCATTCCATGAGCAATTCCCACCTGCATCGGAGCTTACAGAAACTGCCACAGCCAAGTAATTGTTTCCAGAATGGTTATTCCAATCCTAGAACACCAGGGAGTTACAGCTCCTGGTTTTTTATGAAAAATCATTCTACTGTGGCTTGACAGGCAAAAATTATTTGTAGAAATTGCTTCAATGCAGGGCATTTTTGGAGCAATGAGATTATTTCTCTCACTTGGTCCTTTTTTGGATTCTGTTTAAAGCGAACCTTAGTCCTAGGCAATTTCTGGTCTCTCTTACCAGTGATTTTGGACATCGATGGTTAGAGCCAAGCTAATCCAGTTTGCCTGATCAATTATTTATTTAGTTTTTAAATCTGTCTTGGTTGTTAGTATCAGAAATGTTTGGTTACACACAAACAATGTAATTAATGTTGCAGTAGAATGAAATGGAATTGTTAGCAGCAGCTTTTCTTGACATCTTCAGTGATCTGTTGCAAAAATGCCTCTTGTGAGGTACAGCAGATGATAAAACTCCTACATTTGTCAGGGAGAATAAATCTGGTGAGCTTTTTCAGTGCAAGCTGTGACTAGTCGGACACATTTCGGTAAGGTAGTTGTTTTTGCAAGAGCGCTAAATGTACAAAACTGGGTACTGGAGAAATACTGATGATGTCTACAGGTTACTTAGCCTGCCAGTATTGCACGCTGTCAAATGCTCTTCAGACCACCAGTTAAAACTCCCACATACAAATGAATGACACAGGAGTTCTGCAGTTTTACACAAGAATACACCAGTATTTATGTGTCTGCATGTTGAGGATCTGGCTGCTGACACCCTAATGCCAAAATCAAAAGGCAGAGTACTGATGCACCACAGCTGACAGTTGAAGTTAAAAATAGATGTGTTCCTGTATTAGCAAGCAGACTCATACCAAGATAATTTGATTCAGTGTTCAGTGATGTGAGGCAGTGCATTTAATCCAGTTTAACTAGTCCTTAGTCGTCTAAGATGGAAAAAGTGCACCAAAAATTGGTTCCAGTAGAACCTGATATTTTTTTTTTAAAGAATTAACATAGCCAGAGTATGAAATGGAAATAATATGCTGAAAGATATTTGAGGTTAAATTTAAAACCTATAAAGCCTGGATATTTTCAGTGTTTATCATGTAGTATAAAATCATTCTTGTTTAAATTCATTTAATGATAGTGAGCTTGTTTTATGAAACCTATTAAACAAATTGTCCCTCTGGGTCACTTCAGTCTTTGGTCATCGTAAAAATATTTGTGTATGCTAGTCAGTGTTTGGTTTAGTGAAATACTGGCACATAGGTCTATTGAGTCTCTTTTTAGAAAAACAAAATATAATGGAAAAAGAACATAATTTAGATGAAATAAAGTATAGCTCTTCAGAAGGACCCCACTAATTCCTCTAGAAATTCCTTTAATGATATGTTCATGGGTCTCAAAACATACAAAGGTTTTTGTTTTATAAATATATGCAATGGTTAAGTCTAATTTAAAAAAGACAAACAAAAAGCCAAACTGATCAGTAGCAAAATGGATTAATGAAACCTGGAAATCCTAATGTGCGTTTCACTCTATGCATTTCACTGTGTCAAAATAATGAAAATTTAGTTTGTCAGCTTCACATTTTGGTCCACCTAACCCTGTAAGTTTTTAAATGTTTGGGCTGTAAAACCTTGCAGGAGAGAGAGATTTAAATCGAAACAAGTCGGTTTTCACTGATATTTTTAATTTTATAAACACTTTTGGTTTATAAAAATCTTGGACTACAAACCATGCAGGTGTATTTATGTGCATGTGTGAGAGGTGCGGCTCTGGAACAACAGTTGTCAAACTGTACCATTTGTGAGAGTTTCCAAATCTGGGGATTTTTAAAACATAGGAGCCATGTAGAGCTGGTAACGTGATGCTCTGAGTAGACTTTCCCTTCCATGGGTATCAGATGCATTAAAGGAAAAGGAATTAATTGTGCAGTGTGCGCCCACTGCTGTGCTTTTTAGAGTTAAAGCTGCCATATGCGTTTGAGGTGTAGATTGTTACCTTTATTATAGCTCCCATTAGACACGTGACCTAGATGTAATTTTCCAAGCTGCCAGGCTGATTCTCTCCCCCAGTTTTTTCTTGCTGTCTTGTTCCTATGGTAACCATGCACTCTGTCCTTGCAGAGAAGCGCTGAAGCTGGCAGCTGCTCAGAAGTCCCAGCAGCTTGCAGCCCTGCAAGAGGAGAACGTTAAACTTGCTGAGGAGCTGGGCAGGAGCAGGGACGAAGTCACAAGTCACCAAAAGGTAGGGTGGCTGGAATGCTTCCTGTTCTGTGCTTAGAGGAGGTTGCCATTTGAAGGGATGTGCAACTTGAAGTGATAGGCATGCTGTTTCCGCTGATGCCCATGTTAAATCATAATGCATGCGTGTAATTTCAAGCGATTTCATTTTGGGGCTATGTAAATACATTTGAAAACCATCTGCATCAGAAGGTTAAAACTACAGTGTGGCAGAGGGTGTTAGAACCCATGAAGAATCCTTTATAAAGGAGCAGTCTGTTTGAAAACTTGCAAATAAGTATAAATGTAAGTGTGTTTCTACTGGAAGTATTCTTATTTTTTCAAATATAACAACTCTATTGGATGCATATCCCTCCCATAGGAAGAGACAATGTGACTTTTTAAACCCTACTGTACAGAGATGATATTTCAGGGTGGTTAGAGTGCTGTTCAGAACAACTATTGAGCTCTATATTAAAATGATGATGTAACTACACATGTTGACGTGCTTAAACTTCTGCATCTCTGGATAAGTGAATCTCATTGCATCCAAATAGTTGGTAATAGAGGGCTGGAAGGGCTGGAACAGACGTGAGATTTTTCTGGTGGCAGCATAAGACCTGGAGAGCTCCCTACTGCTTTGCACATGTCAGTAGAATGTTAAAATACTTATTTTGTAGATGGAGCTTAGACATTTAGTACTTGCCCAGAAAGATGCTGGAGCTGCAGCTTTTAACTGTGAGCAATTAAATCTCTATGTAGGACACCTCCAGATTCATTACTACCCCTTTTCCTGAAATATGGCTACTTACATTTATTTAGAAAAAAAGAAGAAGAAGGTTTGAGTTACATTTGGTACCTGATCTCTTGTGTCACTCAGGGGTCTAGTTCTAGGTTGTTATACTGTGATATAAAACTAAAGCTATTGCAAGTTGTGTCTGTCTCTCAACCATGTATCTTTATAGCTTAGACCATGTATCTGTGTGCCAGCACTTGTTGCGGCTGGTTTCCAAGCTTCCCTGGGAGTCTCCTTTCCTCCCTGCTACAACACCTAATGCACCTGCAGGAGTTGAGTAGACTTTCCCCAAAGGACCTCTTTCTTGCTGAGGGGTTGAGGATGGATAGCCATAAGCCTTTGCAGTTTCTAGATCCTCCCAGCTGCTGCAACAGGAGTCATATAAGGAATCCTCTATCTTAAGAGTGTTTTGAACGATAATTGAAGACTATCCCAGACATGTGGGATTTTATCAGTGACTCATGTTCTATCTGAGTAGTGGTGTGGTACCAGGCTGCTGTCTCCTTAAACAACCAGTGGAAGCTTTCCCCCACCCTTCAAATATTTTCAAAGTCTTTTGAAGGTAACATCTCTCCTTCAGACCAACCAACACTTGAGGCTTCTCAGCACTGGGGCCATCCCATTGATCAAGTCTTATCCTCACTGCATGGCCCAGATACCCTGGCTTGCACTGGAGAGGTTCCAAGGAGATGGGAACCTTGCCCATGTATCCCAAGGGCACAGACTGCTCCCTTACTTGAGACTACAGTAGTCCCTGCAGCTTCTGGCTTTATCTGTCCAGAAGGATAGTGACTTTCAGAAGTCATGCCATAGGCAGTGTAGTTCACCAGGCCTGATGGAATACGAGAGGCACCGACTCAAAGGGCTACATGCAAATGTTATCATGGTACTAAGGAGCAAATGAAAAATGGTGCTACGGAAAATGCAGATTATAACACTGCGCAACTACTGAATGTGGTTTTTCTCAGCTTAGCATAGTTTAGCTTGAAGTTGTATCCTCTACACTTTTGCATAGCAGAACCGTATATACTTTGCTTAGAGACTGGCTACTTAGAAATGAAGACCAGGGGCCTCCTGAACAATGTTTGGAGTCTTGCGTGAGGGTTCATAAACTACCAACAAGCCTCCATTGAGAGAGAGAAATTTAGTGCCTTCCCTTAAGAACAGAGTCCTTTGCAGAGCACCTCCCAGATGTCTAGATCAGTAGTCTAAAGAGAAGCTGTGCTCCTGACTGTGAGAGATTCATCATGAAGCCACTGTGGAAGCAACTTGCCTTCCACAAAAGCTCTAGCTCGTGAAGGCTTGGCATGCATGCCCTACCTCCGTTTTACTACCACTTGTTGTACCATACCAGGCCAGTGCTGTTTAGCATTGCTACTCTCATGTTTCAGGCTGCCTGAGTGCAGGTTCTTGCCTTTCTCTAAGGAGGTAACAGTAAAGCTGCTCAGGAGCTCCAGCAAGGGACTGGATCTTGCCCAGTTTGGAGTCAAAATGTGGCAAACAGAGTGACCGTATCAGATTACGTCGTCTTGTCCCCTTTGTTCTCATGGAGCTCAGGTAGGAAATGTAGGAGCGCCCTCAGGCCGAGTGACACCGAGGAAGAAAATCCATGCAAGTGGGTTCTTAATATAGAGAATTGGTAGATTTGATGCACTTTAGATAATAAAATGCTGTCTAAACCAGGAGAAGCAGCCTTGATGTCAAGTGACCGTACACATAATTGTCCATATAACTAATTTCTCTCCGTCCAGTGGTTATTATTTAAAATATAATGTAAGGAACAAAATGTAGTGATTTTTTTTGTTTTGTTTTGTTCTGATTTCTTTATGACTTGTAAGATGCAGTAAGAAAGGTATGAAGTGCATATTGCAAGTATTTTGAGCAGTCGCTATAGCAACCATATAAATGCTATCAAAAGCATTAGTCAACTGAGTTAGCGAATATGTGGACGCATGTGACACGTTTTACAAAATTAATTAATACCTTTTATGAATGATTCATCCTGACACCAAAAGGTTAAAGTGGCTTATACTGCAGATACTGAGGGATTTCCATCTGTATCAATCTATAAATAATTAGCTATTTGTGATTAATTAAAGGGTTCCCAGTCAGATGGTTATGGTGCTTGGAGCAGGGGAATTTCTGGCTACATATATATTTTGTTGCAGAATTGTAACAAAATTTCAATCCCATGAGTTTTTTAATTTCAGGGGAGGTCTTGTAGAAAAGATCTCTTAGTCTACCTTGTCCAGCTCTTTCATCCCCGCTCAATAAGACGTGTTGTGTTGCTTATCTGATGTCGCTGGTTAAAAAGTAAGCAATCCAGTTTGGGAGTTGGGAGAAAGTTGAAAGAAAGATGGGATACTCTGTGGCTGTTCCTTGTGCCTTGGTCCATAAAACAGGCTGTTTGCTGGCTCATCCCAGCCAGCCAGGTAGCAGGAAGGGAGGCCCAAACTTTGTGGATAAGAATGCGGAACTCCAGCTTCATCCATCTTTTACCTTCTGTTTCTATGTGGTCTTAAATGCTGTGGGATTTTCCAGGCTTGACTGGTGTGGGGGAAGCTCTTACACCCTTGAAGTTTTTCCAAAAGGCAGCTGAAGTAAGAGCGAGGTGGCTGTGCCTGTTGAAGAAATGATACCGAGGTTTGGCTGTTATGGGCATGGCTGCTGAAGGATGTGACTTGCAGGGATTTTCAGACTCTGTGGATAGAGAGCCTTGCTTCTGAGAAGTTAGGTCATGCCAGGGGAAATTTAAGCAACTAGGCACTGGACTGTATTGCTTGCTGGTTAGAGGCTAAGGCTGTGTAGGCTGCCTGTGGGGAGCTGCAAATGATGCCTGCAGATGGAGGAAAGCGAGTCCAAAAAGATTCAACATAAAAGGGTTTGATGTGCAAGGTTTTTAATCTAATAGTTTGAGGGAGACACCCAGAAGAGAGAAGGCAATTTAAAAATATATCTCGGAGAAGAAACTTCACAAACAGAACACTGCTTCTTTCCAAATTCCCCATTTTTCCCCGCTTTTCAGTAGGGTATATGAAGCACGATACTCGAAGCAATGATGTAAGCTGCCTCTGCGTAGGAGTGAGACAAAAAATCCTCTGTAACATGGGGCGTGCGCTCTGCCGTCAGTGAAATCGCTATTTTTGACTTCCAGCAGGCTCACAGAAGTATTACGGCAAGCAATAATCACCCTAGCTTGTATTGCTGCTGTCAAAAGGCTCTTTCACAAGGTTGACTTTTAATCTTCTCTCTCCCTTCTGCTGCTGTTCTATCAAGGACTTTGACATTGCACCCCAGCAGTAAGTCCTAAATCAGGAAGCTGGACAATGCCATAGTAAATAATCCACGTGAGGAGTGTTTAATATAGGGCTGGATGACAGCAGGCACCCTTTGCTCTCATTTAGTACCCCAGCAAAGACCAATGCCTTTCTGTTTAAGATCAAGTGGATAGAAGTTTAAAATGTGCATGTTCACAGCCCCTTTGGGTTTTCATTAAAAATCTTAGAAAAATGTGATTGGAAACTAAATAGAGGGAAGAGATGATTACTGCTGTGAGCAGTTTCTTTGGATGTGTGCCGTTGCCCCTAGCATTCCCCAGAGGACTCAGTTCAGTAGTATTCCAAACCTTACCAACACTGCACCCAAGATAATGCTTATTTGGTACTGAAACAAGGACTGCTGAAATGTGGAAGGATTTCATTGGATTGGAAATTTATATAGATTTTTACCTCTCTAGTAAAGTCAGATTTAGTCCACATGCCATTTTGCACTGAACGTGGCACAAAAGTGGTGAGCATGGTCACAGCTTTTATTAATAATGAGCCTATAGGTGCCTGAACTCAAACTCAAATAGTTTGCAGATGCGTACTCATTGAATCAGGCTGAAGGAACAACTGGAGACCATTTTCTGTGCTGACGGGTCCTGGCTGTGTTCACAAGTGTTCTAGTGAATATTCCTGCTCACTGAGCAATTTGGGATAATATTTGTGTTGCCCTTGGAAAAAGCTTATTACTTTGCTGAAAGCATTTCGTGGTCCAGGAGCTTCTACAAATTTGCATAGATTAGGATATGTTAAACTGAAAAAACCATTTGATCCTTAATGTGCTCACTAACTGCTACCTTTTATGTTTGTATGTGTTTTTTTTCCTTAGCTGGAAGAGGAGAGATCTGTACTCAATAACCAGTTGTTAGAGATGAAAAAGAGGTAAGCTTTTCCCAATGTGTGTTCTAGTCTAGTTCTATGGAAAATATAGCAAAATGTGATGCAAAATTAATAGTTCAAGAAAAACGTGGCTCTTCTAATGCTAGTGACATGTGTTGTGACTTCTGCAGAGTGGCATTTAAGTAATGTTGTTGATGAAACACTAACAAATATATGCAAACAATATTTTTCGTGTTTTCCTTACTAGAATTTGGATGAAAATGTAATTGGCTTAATAATAGGACATGTTCAGCAGCACTTAACTCTAGTATTTATCAGCTCCTGCTCAGCTAAATGTCTCCTGCATTTTACTAATGCTAAACTCTCCTGATTTCAGTAACCAGATAGCTTAGTGGTTTTTTAGTCTTCCTTCAAAAATTAGATGGCTTATAGATCTAACAAGTGTACACACGCAGCCCTAATGAATGGTGTGCTTAATAAATAGCTTAAAATGTTAGTACTGTGCAGGGTCAGGTTATCATTATGAAATGTATATGGAGGCAGCGACGCAGCTTTTAGTCCAGTGTTCCACAGTTTGGGGTATTTATTAGGGGAGTGCTTGGTTGTAGTTTATCAGCCCTACTTCTGGCTCCCTTGAGATTGGGTTAGGTTACCAGGGTCTCCCTGTGGGAATCATTTATCCAATGAATTTTCTCAGAGTCTAAAAGTTAGTCTATTCCTGATTAATATAATATTTGTAAAGGAAAATTCACTTGGATCCAAGTCTCATGATATGAACTACACTTAAAAATACTTTTGTCTGAGGAAGTTGTATAAACTGCTGGGGAAAGGTGCTGCTTTTCACAAACCTGATTCTCTGGTTAAAAATGAACAATAAAGCAATACAAATCCCTTTTGCCTCTAATTCCCTGTAAAACAGCTTTAATGGCAAAGAGTATCAATAGTCATCTTAAAATTCAGACAGATTCTTAATGTTCCTCTTCTATCTTTTGGCCCTGTTATATTATTTTGGCCCCATAATTTGCTTTCCTTTCGAGTGTGTCCTACTCTCTTACATCTTGCACTTTTCCAGAGACCAGTGTGTATGCCTAATATTACATCAGCAGAGGTTCATGTAGCTTACAGATCTGATAAGCTGAAACTCGGGTCTTAACTTGCCTCTAGCAATGAACTCAGATCTTAACTTTGATCACTAGAATCATCCGATACCTGGAAATACCTAAAATCTTAAGCACAGGACTTCTGGGGAGAAATGAGAGGAGTGAGAGCCTCATAAAATCTATAGGGAGATGCATCTACAGTAGTGTAAACTGTTATAGTTCATCTGATTTCAGTGACAGTTTACACTAGCTGTTGATCTTCTCTGGAATGCCTAATGCAGAAAGAAATTAGAAGATTTAAATAGTATTGCCTCCATTGCAGCTGATTAAGGTCCATCTGTTGAATACATATTAAAATTCAGATTTACAAGCTCTTTGCAGGGTCGGGGGGAACCCTAATGTTTCAAAAGGTCCCTGACACGCAGAGAAAAAAGGAGCAGGGCCCTGTGATTGACTCTGTAGCCTTCAACAGCTCCTTTGTTTGAAAAACTTAACTTGTAAAACACAAGGCCTTTATAAACAGGTTACGAGGAGAATGCAATCAACGTAGTGTGTCTTAAAATAATTTTGGAGACGGGGATTATAAATTAGAGAGAGAGTATATCAGTCTAAACAGATTTTTGTTATAGGGTCCATTCCAGGGTGGAATATACTTCTGACAGTATAGAATTATCTGAAAACGGATCGTAGTGGAAAATTGAAAACAGCCTCAAGGAAAATACAGGGCTCTTAAGTTAATTTTAGGATGGCATCCTCCTTAAATGAGGGACAACACAACAGTGGTATATTCTGAGAGCTCCAACTTGGGGAGCTTAGGGAACACTGAAGGTCATCTTTAAATTCTCCAAGATCATAGTTAGGAAAATATTAGGCTTGTTGCCCCAACAGCAGATATGGAAGTTGTTGTCAAATGATGACAGCAGAGGAACAAAAAAAAAAATACAGCTGAAGGTACAGTTATGGGTAGTCTTCTGCAAAGCTGCACAATCAATGACAGTGTAATTAGAACCCATATTGCAGAAAGCAAATCATTGTCCTCTGGCGCACATTTTATTAATAACCCATTTTTTAATTTTTGTGGATGTTATTTCTTGATGGAAGCTGCTGGAAATAGACATAGACATCTGTGCAATCTGTGGGCTGTCTAAGTTGCCAAACTTATTCATCCTTGCTTACCTTCCTTTGCTTTTGCTGATACAGATGCACTTAACTTCAGCGTCTTAGTAATATATTTGTCAATGATGATTACTCTGTTTCTTGGTATGGGCTATGATATGAAGACCAAAGCAAGCAGCAGAGCAAGAGTCAGTTTTTATTCAAACGATGCAATCCACTGGATGTTAGGATATGCAGATATGACATTAATTGTATGCTACCAGATAAAAGGGTTGGGTTAAAATAAGATCTAATTAAATAAAAAATGTCTCTCTGAATCCTAGAAACTCACCAAAAATACTGGTGACTTATTTTCCTTCTCTCCCCTGCCCCACCCCATCCCTTCCAAGATACAGAAGCAGAGACATCTTTTATTTTAATTGGGCCAAGCATCCAGCTAAGAACAATTTCCCCACTTACCTTCCACTTATAAGAGTTCTCTGTCATTGAATTTTCCATATGAAATATTCCAGTTAGGAGTGACAGAGATTTGATATTTCTTAATCTAAAACTAAGGGGGTTCTATGTTACTTCAGCTCATTAGATTCATTGTGGATTGCTAACTGTCTTACTGTCTTTGAGCTTGCGCTATTTATCAATACTCATTTCATTCCTCTCTCTTCCCTTTCCTACCCTTGCTTCCTTTGCTATATCTGTGTGTCTTTAATGGTAAGACTCAAGAAAGTCTATCCACGTTACAATAAATAAATTTTTTTTAAGTAGAGTTGTTGTACATATTTTGGCTGCCTTTGTCCCTCAGTGTCTTGCTTTTGTTTTGTAAAATACTCAGCAGTATATATACATACATATATATATATATATATATATATCTCTATATTTTTTAAAACAAAAGAAAACCTTCGGTGCAAATTTCGTTCTTCCTTACAGTATTTTACATTTCTCTTCCATGTTTCTAACATGTGGTTCTTGTTATCTTGCATTTTTAAAGCTTGCCCAGTAACACTTTAAGGTACTTGCTTCATTCTTGGAATTTCTTATTTTTGTAGTAAGGGAAGAATCTGGGTAATTTTATGCAAAAAGTAATCCATGTACCACATACTTTTCACATACTTTGCAGAGTGTAGTTTGCCCCTCCTCGTAAAGGTGTTCTTTTCCTGGCATTTGGAATGATTGCATAAAATGTTAATAATTTTGCACATCTACGTGCTATATGAAACTCTTGGGTCCTGCTGGTAAGCAGATACTTATGGTATGGAATGATGAATGTTAAGTTAAATGCAACAGTTTTCTCCTTACTGCAGATGGTCATTAAGTGTTATGCACATAATTTTTCTTGCAAGTCATTTATATATAGCTAATTCATGTTTAGCATGCATCCTTCAAGTTTAAGTATCCCTAATGCCACCGATATTGCAGGTGGTATTGAAGTTGAGATTATCAACTGGGAGGATTATCTGGGGACGTTGAAAGGGTATCGTGATTCGGATTCAAGTGAAAAGGCTCAGTGTAACATACCTATAGTATTTGTTGGCTTTCCATTTGTCCTTTAAGAATGTCTGAGTGATCTGTGAAACATCAGTATGTTCTTCCTAGAGACAATAAGTCAATGGTACAGGAAAGGGGCCTTTAATCTCCTTTTGATTTCTCTCCTCTTGTCTCTCTCCCTTTCTTTGTATAATATATCAATTAAAAGCATTATAAATATGACACATAATGGCATAAGTGTCATATGAAAACTGTCCCACTGATTTACCTGCCTTTAAGTAACAGGCATCCTGCTGCTCATGCTGCATGTCCCCTTTAACTGTTAACACAAAATAGTCAGATGTCCAGAGTTTTGTGTGGGTGTGGATGGCTGTAAAATTCATAGTGCTTCAGGTGGCTTAAACTTGCTTGTTTAGTGCTACAAGTTGGCCAGAACCAGACAAAACATTATATGAGATAAAGGTTTAGCTAGGAAGCTGAAGTGTTGGGCACTAAGCCCTTGAACATGAGACAAGTCACTGTGGTGGCTCCTTGCTACTGCAGCACAAAGGATCCAGGCAAACCCACTTGTACTCTGCCCCCAGGAGCAGTAACTGCATGGCAGAGTTTCCCTTTCTCCAGTCTTTCATGTGCACTACGGAGCCATGGCTCCATGGGCTCCTACAGATGTGTGGGGAGCCTGCTCTGACGCACTCCAGCTGCCTTCTGCATCGTGTGCATCAGCGTTCCCCTGCTGAAAAAATGGTGGTGGAGTGCTTTGAACTAAAACATGTTCAGTGAGCTTTAGTTCAAAGCACCCTGCCACCATTTTTCAGCACGGGGACGCTGATGCATGTGATGCACAGACACTTAATTAGTATGGCTCACTAATTAAAGCGCCTGGTGCTGCATCCCAGAACACATATATACAAAAATGCCCCATGAGTTGATGGAGTCGCATAGCATTGTCATTCCATCACTCCCCAGCTCCTGACAAACCCATGCAGGCTTTTGCTGCCGCACTGCTCTTTTATACCTTGTTCCCACTGCACAGCTGCCCTAGGTCAGTTAAGAATGTGCTTAATAGAGAGCAAGACTGCTCATGTGTGAAGTGCTTTGCTGAATCAGGGCTTGTGGAAACAATTGAGAGATGCATTAAGTGCCATTGCCCTTTTTATTAATGAAAGGAGAGATTTATATTTGTAAAGAGTTTTCTTAGTCAGCAGTTCAGTATAACCTTTCATGGGAAAAAAAAAATCAACCTCAGTCTTGGGTGGTATATGCTGTCTGTAAACCCCAGATTCTCCACTTACTGCTTCCATTCCTGAGTATAAACATAATCTTAACAATGAAAGAATGACAGCACTTGTGCTCTCATTGTTGAGTTTTCTATTTATTCTGAATCATTTGAGATTATTGTATTTCATGGACTGGATATCCTGGGCCTCACTAACGGTAGATGTCATGAATAGTAAAAATCTTCAACCGGGACCGAAGAGTATTTCCTTAACTAATGTGTAGTGTGCTATGTAGGGAAGTGTTCCACACTTGGAGATCAAGCAGTCCCAGCATGTTTTGAGTGTGTTTGGTTACTTGGATGATAATCATGTTGTTCTTTCTCCTTAAAGATTATGCCCCTTTTCTATTGAAAGCAGCATATGAGAGAACCATTCAACACAGTTTACCTCTAAAGTTTCAAAAGGAAAGGTTGTTAAGAATTTGGAAAAATATGGCTGTGGTTCTCAGAATTGCACAGAAGAGAGGCCTGATTTTTCAGAAGCAGGGAGCACCCAGCAGTCTCTGCTGAAGGGCATCGGTAGAAGCTGCTGTGTACTCCATTGTTCTGGAACTGGGCCACTTTTCTAAATGGCTAAATATGGATTAAGAGCCTAAATGAAAGGTTCAGTTTTTAAGAAATATGGCCTGTCACAAAACCACTATCTTGCCATTTGGAAGTATTTCTATAGCAAATAGCTGCCTCATGTCCAAATATAAGCTTTCCGCCTGGATGCACTTGAAAGCTTTGTTAAGGTTAAAATGCAAGACTTTGCTGTATCCCTTAATATGGGATGCTATCCCCGTTCTGCTGGAGAACTAAAGGCTAGATTTCCTTGATACTGAGCAGGTAAATGATTTCCTCAGTGCTATTCCATCGTTGGATGCGACTGACAATATGAACATTCCTTTCACCATCCACACGCTCAGATGGTGGAGCTTCAAAACCGTCTCAGCGTGAGGTTAATTTTAAACCTGGTACTTGCACGGTATCAGTTTACATCATTTGCTAACTCTTGGGTTAATTTTCATAGTTTCATAGTTTCTAGGGTCGGAAGGGACCTGAGCAGATCATCTAGTCCG